CAATCTATATTAAGGGATCCAGAAAAAGACTGACTCACTATCCTCAGAAAAATTAAGACAAGTCTGGTTCCAATTTTCAATCATGCAGTGCTGCGTCCAGATAAAACAAAAATAATTCGTCTAGTACTCCCATCTCTCTCCGCAAATAATGTTGGTCTACACTCTACACGATAAAACTCTGCATTAGTAATATAATAGTACAACGTTTTCGCTGTTTTTGTAGGTTCGGCACGGAATTTACGGAGCTCATTGTCAAGGTTACTACGCAATTCGTTTTGTCCCCTACCCGTGACATTTCTATTTATCACTTTCCGCTTAGCTGTCGATACCCGTGCGCACACGATTTCGCGCTGCGACTGGCCTATTAGTTTTCGAATGGCGTGTTATTAAATGCCGCCGCTTTGCCGATTTGCAACGTTGCATTATGGTTTCGAGGTATAAAATTATATAAACAATGTGTATATAAAATTATAATTATCTTTTTATTATCTTTAATTTTTTTTAATGTTAACTACAGTAATTTTAATTAATATGCTTTCGACGAATGTTGATTTAACCTCAAAAATAACGCTGGCATATAACTTTCTTAGCATTTTTTTCAATTATGCACTAATTTTTGCAATTTTTAAATCTTTCCAAAAACGTCTAATTTGAAATCGCAATTGACTTTAGTTTATACCTACAATTGAGGTTCATGTCCTTAGTCCTTCGTTTAATTTAAACCAATATATTTATTACTGTTAATGACAACTGCTTAAAAAAATACTAGTAGGTCCATTCTAATTGATTATGGATTAATTATCCCATCTTCCGATAAAATTTTGCAAACAAAATATGTTTGTCGAAATTTTTAATATTGCCTCCAACTTTTCAATTGCAAGAGAATTAAGTTAAGAAGAGTATTAAAGCAACTCCCATATACTTTTATTTATATAAAAATTACAAAAATCAGATTGGGTCCTTAAAGAAAAGGAATCTGAAGCTTCTGAGGTTTAGGGCAGCATCTACAACACATTATCTGCAATTTATTCTATTTCATAATTTCGAAAACAAAGAAATTTAACATCGTGCCTTCAGGTGTTATTCTTGCCTTATCTTTAACCAAAACAAGGCTGATGAACTGTTTCTTCAATAATAATTTTAATTATAAAATTTATTTCGCGTATTTTTAAATCCTGGAGTTTAACTTAATAAAATATACAAATCCAAATTAAAAATACAAGTGAATGATAGGATTATAATCATTCCAGAAGATTATTTTCATCTCGTAAAAGAACAAAACACTGGTTTATATATCAGAAAAGAGCATTGCCACAGTTCGGGCTAGTTTCGGTTAGGGGAATAAATAAATGAAAATGAATCCTAATTATTTTTTTTAAGACATATATGTACATGGTTCTATTGCTTGAGAATCAGGTAGAATTCTAGAAACCAGAGTATGAAATTACGACTTGTACAAAGACATCTGTGTTAACGTCTATCGAAGTCATAATGCTGTGGGTCCGAGAAACAATATATCTTTATCTATAAAAATATTTAATGTACTCCGTGAAGAGTTGAAAAACCATTATTAAGGAAAAGTTTTAAAAAAATAAATTAAAATCGTGGATGTTAGAAACAGACATACATTTACAAATAGTAATTACAATGGTATTATAACTACATTTTTAGAATAAATTAGTTCAAAAATTATTGTAATTCTTAACTGTAATTTTCAAATAGATTTGTACCAAAATTCGTATAATTAAGCCACTCCTGTGATATTTTTTTTATAAATTGTTAACATTTGGTGGAAGTATCGGCAGAGGACAGTTTCTTAGCCGAAAAGCTACAGCGATAACCGAAGGTTAATTAGGGTTTATACTAAAATGATCATTTCTTTGTTGTTGTAACCTAAACCGTCACGAAATAAATTGTATTCTAAGTGACTACACGTTTTGCCAAAAGGTTATCCCGGCGTCAACAATCGCCCAAACTGCCCGTTAGGATTCGCCGCGAAAGGTACCTAATTGTCACCACCAGGCGAGGAAAAAAGACGGGAATAACGACGTAAAAAATAAACCGACCCTTAATGGCCATTAAAAGGTTTTTAGTGTTTACCGGTCGCGCAGGGGGGCAGGCAGAGTCTCCATTTAGCTGCCAAACGCAGACTTCACATAATTCGAAAATAACTTAGATATTTGGGATGCCTTATCGTCTGGTTAGATTTATTTGGGAGCTTCGGATTCTGACGGGTATTATGGGCTCGTAATATCTGTCGATTTCAGGGTACGCATAAAGCCCTTAAAAAGAAAGATTATGTGTATATGGCAAAAGATTTTGTTACTAGCATCCTCGAGAAATTTTTCGAACTTACTTTTTCTAATGGAATACGCCGGCCTAGCTAATTTTAGGTAGTGTATGTGTAAGTGTCCAACATGTTTCAAGTATTTTGAAGATAAAAAAAATATACGTATGGCCTAAAATGCTTCATTTGTTAAGTACAGGGAGCCCAAGAATTTATTGTTATTCAATTTTAATTCTTCCTAGGGCGCTCTCTACCTACAGTTTCCATTTTCGCACTTTCAAAGGCTCTGATTCTTTGTACGATTTTATATTTTTGCGAAGAAGAAATAAAATTATAATTTTTTTTTTGGGCGAAAAAGGTTGTATTGTGTTTGTTCTCAAAAAAGTAAATCATTCTTGTTATCCTAGTTACAATTCATGTAATTTTGAAATTATTCACTATAATAAATGCTATCTATCTATAAATAAACATGCGGTGTAATAGTCATTTAAATTGAATGCAAAACTTGCTCGCATTGCGTCTTAGTTTTTAATTCCATTCAAAAAGATATTTCATTTAAATAAATGATCATTTGAAAAAAAATGTCTATTAACACGGAAAATAGAGTAGCCCCATGGCATAAACATACTAATTTGCAAAGGTACATGATTATTACCAGCTTTTTTTTTAATTAGTTTTGGGGCAATTTTGGGCTTTTTCCTTGAAATATTTTACAGCGACCACTCATCTAAAATTGCCCATAGAAAATGGTGTTACTAATTTCTGTGATTCAGCCGAAATAACTTTTTGATTCGTTCGCGTTATCACACGGCCATTATATTTTCTGGCATTCGCGTGTGTGTCACATTTCCTATTGATTATTCGTGCTTTTATGTGACTTTAAATATTTCATTGGTGATTAATTGATGGCCGGCGCTGCACATGCTTTCAAATTTGAACATTGAAATTGCTCTATAAATCAATATGGTTGGACAAATGACAATAAATTTTTAGCTTTGTTTCTGTGAAATTTTTCAAATATTTGTTATTTTAGACTATACTTTGTGATTTTCCTCTCATTTTTTGATTTCAAAATTATATGCTGTTAATTAAATTGTTTTTTTTTTAATTTTTTGGTAGCATAAGCTGATATGTTGGGTATTTACACAAAATAGTTCCTCAACTTAAAAATATGCTAAATATTGACTTAATACTAAAAATGATTGAGATAATCAAACCGTGCTTTTAATATATCAAATAATTTGAACGATGCAACAAATCCCTTATTAATTCAAAATGAGCTAGATAGTTCTAATCTACATAATTTATCTTCAACACTATCGGGTTTTCTTCTTTAAAGAGACAAAATTATGTTTTAGTTCAGTAAGATATAATAGAATATTTGGATGGACAAAGCATATCATTGTAAACAAATTATTTATTTCGATCAAATAATTGTATTCTTATCAAGTGTCAGAGACCTTTTGCAATATGGCGTATTTATATATACATGAAGCTGGTTTCTTCAATTTACTAGAAACATGACAAATTTCAAATAATATAATTTAGAAAAAGATATTTATGTGCATTATAGCGTTATCAAGACAGAATGATGGAACCACCCACAATAAAAAATGAAATGGTTCTTATTTTATTTATTATTATTAAAAAAATATTTACTATTTTTAAAGACGTTGTTTGTTGCCGAAGGCAAATGTTTATTTAGTTTCATCAATTTGTATTCTTTAGCTTATTAAGGTTCTTCTGTTAAACAATGATGTTTCATTACCTCATATAATTATTTGCCCGATTTTACTAATGTATTTAACTTATTTAACAGCGACCAAATAATGTTATAGGACGACTGTATTGTATTGACTAATTGCATTTTATAACAAATTAAAAAAGAAACTTTTCTACGAAAATTTGTTTTGTTCTTTAAACAAATCAATTTCAATCTGTAAAGGAACCAAAACATCCTTAGATAAAAAATTAGCGCTATTATAGTGTAAGTAGTGTCTTCTACATATCATCATAAAAGAATAGTGGAAATAAATAAGAACTAAAAGTTCAGATTTTCACGAAATTATATATTTTGACATGACAATTGTTTGGACAACACCGTGTCTTTATCAAATGTAATATTTACAAACTACCTGCTACTATATATACCGAAAAATGACCATAAAACCTTAATTAATTTTCAAAAATCAATATTTGATAAAGACACGGTGTTGTCGAAACAATTGTCATGTCATAATATATAATTTCGTGACAATCTGAACTTTTAGTTCTTATTTATTTTGATAAATAAATTTTCATCAAGTAAAAGCCACCTCAGTTCAAGAAAAGTGGAAATCTGACTACTAACTGCTCGAGCTATACCTAGAGTAGTCTTTTTGGTGCATTCATTACGGATCGCTCTGTATTTGTGCAAAAGTTTTCGTTATTATTTGAACGAGGCGATTTCGCTTGTCGGAGAACTTTTAAGGATAAATAGAAAAGGGAAAATGCTAATCGATTATCGACAGACTTCGACGAGGCGTTTTTTAAACTTTTTCATCCGTCTGGGAGGGGGGCTGTAAAAGCTCGCAGTTCTTCGGCGTTGTTTTTATTCGAAAAGTTATATAAACTCGAGGCGAATAATTTTTGTCGGTACGCCTTGCTTTCTCTCAATAGAGGGTTGTTGAAATCACCTCTGCTGGACTAATCTGGAAAATTGTTCTCTTTGCAGGGTCGCCGGCGGAGCTAATGGCATTTTCACACGTCGCTTGGATTTCAGCTCATTCAACGCCTTGCCGAAGAATAAGTTAAACTCCTACCAGATTAAGGTAAGGCTTCGTTTTTATTATACCAATCGCAGCCGTTTTCGGCATAAATGAAGTTTCTAACACTTCTTGAATGATACTCAGTATTAGTAACCTCAGTAGGTTTATAAAATACATTGGTTGCAAACTACCAATTGCCTATTAACTATTACCGTTTAACATTAAACTGTAAACCTTCACCTTGTTATATAGCTATATAGCTATCGTTTTTAGAACAGTTCAAATAAACTTATCGAATATATCGAGAAAACAAATGAAAAATATCGCAAATCTACTAAAACTTTACTTTGATAAAGTTGGCGCGAGATGGCGCCGTTGGGACGTAACAGCATGAGACAAACTATACGGTTGTTTGCCATTGTTTATTTTGGTTAGTTTATTTCCTTCTATAATTAGCCATAATGCAGTGAATTGCACGTCATATTTCTCGGCAGGCGTGACTTGAGAGTTCTGCCCGACAATAATAAATACGTACCCAGTCGAACTTCCTGTCGGTCGGTAAGATTTAAAATTTTCCGCCTGTGTTTATTGATCCTAAGGCCCTTTTAAAAACGCGCGTCTCGTTTTGTTTTGCCTTCGCCCGATAGAAGCGTTTGGGAGCCTTTTAAATCTATTTTAGAATGAAGGAAATTAATAGACTATAAGATAAATATATTTTTGATTTATTAATTAGAGATCCATGTAGCGTATACAAATATTATACTGTTGAGTATGTCAATTAAATTATTCTGCATTTATAATATTAGTAATAGAATTCAACTTCATTTGTAGTCCTAAATAAAACACTGTATTATTGACATTACGTTAAATCACTGCTTTAATAACATCCGAATGTAATACTGGATCTTTTCATAAACTTGATATTTTTGATGGGAACTGTTATATTAATTGAACTGAGATGGCTTTTACTTGATGAAAATCGATTTATCAAAATAAATAAGAACTAAGAGTTTAGATTTTCACGAAATTATATATTTTTCCATTACAATTGTTTCGACAACACCGTGTCTTTATCAAATGTTTGATAAAGACACGCTGTTGTCGAAACAATTGTCATGTAGAAATATATAAGTTCCTGAAAATCTGAACTTTGAGTTCTTATTTATTTTGACTTTTCTATTAATTTAATATCTGGTCTTTATACTTAACCAGTTTGATTGGGCAAGATCATTTATGTCGCAAGGGTATAAATAACCAGTTATTAAAAAAGCAGCTAATATGTGAGTATGTCTTGATGTTCAGTGCGAGGATAGATACGTTTCATTTTTAATCTTAAAATGCAAGATCATTTTCGATGAATATATAGGGTTCTCAAAATATTTAATTCTGAGATACAAAATCAATGACAAATGCATTATTAACTATCTACTTAATACGTAATATTGGTATATAATTGTTACATATCGTACAAAGTGATTATTGTATTATTATATTATATTATATTGTAACATTTTTAGCTAATTGAAATTATAGTGTAGATGTTAACATTATATGAGATACATTTGTATATGTATTATAATAACGCTAGTATGTAACTTGATTTATTTGAAAATGTTAATAGGACTGCTGGTTTAAATGTAGAACTTTAGTTACAATGTATCGTTGAAAAGGCAATTCGACTTAGACAACGCTATAAGCAATATACAACCGTACGTGATAGTCACATCTTTTGACGCAAACAACATCATCATAACGAATTTTATTATTAATCCACAAAATTATGTGTTTAGCCATTCTTGGTTGCCTTTACATAATATTTGTATTAAACGAAATAGTCTGTTTATAAATTTTTTAAAGGTTTCCTTATTAATACACTCGTAGGCACCATCACATTTAACAGATTGCATGATTAATCAACAAATATATATATTTTTTTTAATTTTAAGAAATATCACTCTTTATAAAAGAAATATGTCATTTGCCATTCTTGCCATATTGCATTTTCTTACATATTGCTTAGTTTTGGTCAGTCGACTTCCTTAAAAAAAAAAAAAAAAAACGAAACACCGACGATAACTCAACGAAGAACGATGTCTCGGCGGTAATTCTACATCGCCGTATCATCGCCATTTTCTCCACGTTCGTAAATAGCCATTTACGTTGTTGCTCTCGAGTCGCTTTAAAACTGTACGAGATCGCCTGTAATCGGTGCTCCTACATTTTCAAGTAGACTTGGAAACTCGTTCTTCTTCTCCAGTTACGTTCCTAGAACAAGCGGTCTAATTAAAGCGAAGACCATTCAGAGACCGGCCACGATCGTTTTTGTATGGATAAAAAAAACGTTTTTATTATTCGACGGCCGTAACCCGTTAAAGGCCGCGAAACACGTCGCGTTCAATCTGTCGGACACCGCGGTGCCAAGATGTCCAACTTTTATTAAATTGCGGGTACCCAAGATATTGGCAAAGAATATAATAGATACAATAAAAGTTCGTCACATATAGAATTTGCTTTGTCGTATACTTCAAGCAAAGTATCGTTATTACAATTCATTTTACTGACACGTTCCTTAAGATTAGCTATGTTAAAACAGACATTTTCAAGTCGCAGAATATCCATCATTATTTATCAAACTCGCGACTGAAATGGCGTTTACTGTTTTTTTTTGCTCAACTTACTATGAAACGTCTGCCATGCAGGGTACAGTGCAAACATCTACATATGTACATGTGCATTTTACTAGCCTCTGACTGGAAAATTGTTAGGTTTTCTAACTTCTAGTTTTTTTTTTCATTGTCACTGTTCTTTGGACTTTGAAGTAATGCTTTTCCATTTCCTATTGAAGACACTTTCATGCAATGCAACGCAAACCTTTCTGCAAATATTACGGCCGACAGCAAAACTGATAGTTTAAAATCAATTACCTAATTGATGATATGAATAATTTGACTTGAATGTTGATGTTACCTAAAGAGTGTCAAACGAAAAAGTAATTGAAGGAATATATTTGTCAATGAACTGCCTAGTGATCACCAAAAAGAGAAAACTGTAGTATTTCGACAGGTAATGCCAGGAAAAAAGTAATACGTTTGCTAAATGTGGCCAGACCCAGAAAATTCAGACAGTGCTTTGGTGTTCTCATGGGGTTTATCAAGCGTTTAACAACTATATTGCTCTCGAGCTTTTTGTAGCAAAGTTCCCCGCTGGATAAACCTTTGGTGCCGTAACTATCCGTGTTCTTTGATCTTTGAACGGATGCTTTCGCGTTTCCTTTCAAAGACACTTTCATTATTAAAGCCAAATTAGGAATTAAAAACCGTTTCAACCAGCATAATATCTAATATGAATAATTTTGATAGTTCTTGGATAAAAATACTGTTAAACGAAGAAGTAATTGAAATAATAGATTGTTCACTAAAACTCCTTACTAACCACCAAAAAGAGAAAACTGTAATGTTTGGTACTCAGAGGGAAAAAATAATGTGAGTAGATGAAGAAAATCGTGATTTTGTCCGCATGGCCATGATGGTTTTACACTTTCGTTAAAAATAAATAAAAAGATAATACTTTTTTTACATTTTCTGACGTAGATTTTATATGAACACAGAACAGAAGCATTAAATAAAGCATTTTGAATGTATTATATCAGGCTGACCACCGCACATGATTGGCCGGTACAGGTTTAGTTTTTTTCCGACAACGTCCTGGAAAATCTACTCGTCCCGGATTGTCCTGGATTTTTCAATGTAGGCATATTTTATCTCCCAACCGTTTCCCGCTCTTAAGTCGTAGTTTTCGTAAATACCGAAATGCCCCATAATAATTAAAAACTTTTTCAACAATCCGGAAACAGAATACTGGCTTTTATTTGCGCATAATGCTGCCGCACTTTTTCATAAAACAAGTTTACTTATACAAGGCAAGGAAATATCAGCATGAGAATGTCTACAAAATCAAGTGCAAAATAAAAGCTTAAGTACAAATACCATCGGAAACTCCATCTTCTCAAATGTCGAGTACATTTAAATAGTTATTAATTCAAAACATACCACATTACTCAGAAATTCATCTCGTAATAAAAACTGTTTTATTTTATAATGAGACATTAATGAATGAAGGTGAACTATTTGACGAAGTATCTTTAATAAAGAAATTTGTAACCAATGAAAAGTTGCAAGATTGGCAAGTTAATTAATGGCTTGAAGTTTTTGATAGTTGTACAAAAAAGCAACTAGGGCTTAAAAACATATCTTTGATAGTTGAGTTTGCACTCTGCCCACCAGTTCTAGTGCAGAGGACGAAAGAGTGTTTTCAATTATAATCAGCCAAGGTGCAACGGGAATCTAAGTTGTTTTGAGTTTTACAAATTCCTTTTAAAAAATGATGTTCTAAAACCAATAGGTGGTTTTAAACAATCATTAGGCATTAAAATTTAAAAAGATATTGAGTTAACGGGGAGGTGGATATAAGCGTCGTGGATTCGTTTCTCTCGAAGTTGGTCACCTTGATTATATTCATATCATTTCCACGCTTTAGATTTTTCTACTTTACCGTGTCATTCGGACTTAGGTAGGTATTGGCAACGCTGCGACCGCGACCGGTAACTGTTTAGCAGTCAAACGACTACCACTCGTAACTTGTCCAGTCTCGTTACATCTATTTTCACTTCGTATATGGCCAGACCGAGCCCAAAGGTTTCGTTTCTTTGAAGAAATTACAACTGGCAGGCGGGTTCACCGTTAAGTCGTCGCAGCCAGGAGACAAGCAGCTCGCTGCATCAATTTTTTTCTCTCCTCCTCGCTGCGCGTTTTAATAAGAATTTATTCTAGCCGTTTCGTATAATGGATCGTCCTACGCTTATGACGTTGCCCGTATACGATTCATACGTAGGCATTGTATGTGATATGTCGGGGAATGGTTTTCGATAAACCGTCGACCGTGGAACGAGGCTGCTTAGTATTCGTTACTTCAAATAGAACACGTTTCGCGGGGAACGATTGAAAGAATATCGATTTAAGCAAACAGAACCACGTCTAACTTGTCCAAAATAAACTTTCACAACG